GAAGAAAGTCGCGGGTGTAATAACTTTAACCTTATAATGTGTTCACAAAAACATATGTTCTCTATTCCTCGTATACCACGGTCTTATGATACCAATGTCCAAGACGTATCTTGTCATTCACATTCTTATAGACCCCATTAAAATATTTTCCATTATTGTATATATGTACATATATGTATATACGCGTTAATCCTCACAGAGTAGTTTTATCAGTAGTGTGTCACCAATACAGAACAATATTGTGATGAATCACTGCATAGTTCCTCTATAAAATAATACTATGTACTCGTAATTATATTGTTTGAATCAAAAACAAACAATTCTTTATGGATACTTATATATTTGTACTTTTGTTTATAATTTTTCTGAACTAATTGTACTAAATTTAATATTGTATTTTTAAATTCTGTTTTATAATCAGACTAATTAAAGGACTTTATTTTTATACGTGATTTTAGAATAAAGAAAATTTGGTAGCCGAATCTGAAGTTATGGGTAAAAATAATAGGCCCGAATAGCTCTATACACAAAGTTGGGAGGGAATTGTAGGTCTGCCTCAAATGTGATATAAGTAATTCAGCTCATGTACCGTAATGTTGCGTTTTATTCTTAATACGAGTTTGTTTACTTCAAACTGGGTCCCGCAAACTTTATGTTTGATAAGCGTGCCGTTGCATGAGTTGAAATACTGTTTGTCCATTGTAGAAACTCGTTCATATTATATAAACTATGTTGTGGCTTGAAGTAGAAGTATATGTTAATGTTTGTATCTCTTGTTATATATTAAAATTTTAACAATAGAGTTATCACATAGAAATGTTCATAGTATTGTAACATATTGTTTAATCCAGATTGTACAAAATATATTTTCTAAAAGGAAAGGGATGTATTTACATTTTATATTCAAAGTTTCTTAAATGAAAGAAATGAATCTGTATTCGTTTGTACAAGAAATCTGCTGAGAAGAAATATGTTAATGAAAGTTGAAACTTAGTTTTTCGGGTAAATTAAGTACGCGTTTCTTTATTATTATGTTTCTATATTTTCCGAGTGTTTCGATTAATTTCAGCAACCGTGTTCACGTTTGTTCATGATCGCGTTTATTTAAACTTGTACACGAGAAAATCTTAAATGTCATTAAGTATAATTTTTTTTTCATGAGAATGATGGCAAAAAAGCAGACGGCCTACGTGATAGAAAGTAGGGATAATCGCCCATGGACATCTGCAACATAAGAGATGTTGCGGATGCGTTACCAACCTTGGTTTTTGAGGAAGTAGGTTGTTGGGTGGGAATAAGGAAATGGTAGAAAAGGGTGAGAACAGGGTAATGGCAATCGGCTCTGTCACTCATCGGACGAAACGCAGCCATTAAAGGCTACTTCACGCCGATCTTCTGTGAGAGGGTGGTACTTCCCCGGTCGAGCCAGCCCATGTTCGAGCTGTAGTAACTGACCACAGCTAGGTTCTACTACCTATAACAAAAAGATATATAACGAACTAATTTTGTTTTCCTAATATTTTTAATGAGCCATTACAATAATTTTGTAAATTGTAACTGCTGTGGTTTCTCGGATAAGTTCGTGTAATTTATTGTACGTGTAATAGTATGTACTAGAATTAAATGTTTCAAATCCAAATCCTTGAAGCGTCAGGGACTACAATGTTTAAGCGGAACTTATCTGAAACTATCTCCAGAACTTCTCCTGTGTAATTTGATCCGTGTTCAGACTTCCCGTGCTCCGTAACGCAGTCAGGAACTCCGATAAAACGTCTCAGACGTTGAATTTTCCTATTAAAGTCTTACACTAAACCTTCATACAGTTGTAAGCGAAGTTTGCGCTTCTTAATGACCTTAGAAATAAAATCCAATTCTTACGTCGCGTCGGGTGAATTATTTTGCATTTTCTTTATATACCATCTGTTTTTATACAAAATCTTTTAAAAATATCCGAGGATTAAGCCTAAGTTCGTAAACAAGTTATATTTCAAATTTTACGCTCCAAAGATGAAAATATGGTATTCAATTTAAATTAATTATAGTAGCTCATTAACAAATATATTTTAAATTGATTTTGCAACAAAAACATAGTTCATATTTGATGTTTCTTAACTTTCAACATTCAAAATTGTCGCGATAAAAACCACGAAATTTTACAGCGCTTAAGAGCGGATTTTACTCAGACATCTCACAGGAGGGTGTGTGAAGGAGCTCTGTCTTTCACTTTAGTTATAGCGATAACACCATCCATCATAAACTCAGCATCCTTAACTTTGAGCTGTTATTGATCACTCTCAGTGTTACGTAATAGCTTTAATAAGTCCTACCCGCTGAGCGGCATCAGCGCTGAGATAACATGCACCAGAATTGAAGGTTCCAATACTTCAAGACGCTTGAATATTTCATACTATGAGTACGAACTAATATTGATTAGAATAAAAAATTACTTATAAAATTTTATATAGAAAAACTCTTTAAGCTTAATCTCTCTCTAATCTATACAGGGTGACTGGTGAATTACTATCGATACTTGAGGACGTGATATTTGACGATCATATATGACAAAATAAAAATTAATATAACATAAATATTAATAAACTTCTAAGTAAAGTTGACCAAAAGTTACGTAATCACGCATCGTGTGAACACCCTACAGACTAGGTATACACACGCACTCACACATACGCGTGTCGTGACGTGGTGTTGTATCAGCACGCCGCCGCAAGCGACCACACTTGGAACACTTGGAACGTGTCAACACTTTATTTATTTATACGGAAATTTGGTCAAAATTAAGTACCTATTTTTTTTACATAATTCGAATGAGAATCATGTACCGAGTATTCTCCTAAAATATTGATAGTAATTCACCAGTCACCCTGTATATGTGTAAAGATTATTGGTGAATATTAAACTTAGACTAAATTCAAATGTTCTCATGATTTTTTGCTTCTTTAGTGTAAACGCAGCCTTAATCTGTCACCCGGAACGCTTGACATGATTATATTTAAAAGTTTTTCGGTAATCACTGATAGTTTCCAACCGCAAGCTTGGTTACTTAGTGGTTAATCGTTTGTGAAATTATGCTTTCGGTAATTGAGCATATTTTTTGATTACAGTTGAGGCTTTGTACTCATTCTTCAGCTGAAATTTAGCATACTTATATATTAGGATAACATATAGGAATATGAAATGCAAGTTTTCCTTCCTGGGAATGACGGAATTAGTCGAGTAAAACCGTTGGTTAATCCATTATAATAAAAAGAAAAATATATTTTGTCTTTATTTTAGTTTTTAAAACAATAGCCCATTGAAATATCATATGTTACTAATTGTAGTGTTGTTATACCACCGTCTCGTTCATCAATAGTACAAATCTCATCTATAAAAACATTTCAATTTATAAATTGAATTTGATTGTCACACATAAATCTTGTTTAATTCTCGTAACTTGTGCCATCGAGCATCAAGTGTCATCTGATGAATGATCGTTTAAAAAACATATTAGATGTTTTATTTATTCGTTTTCTTTCATAAGTATTTTTATCTTCCATATCTATCTATATATATATATAAAAATGGATTGCTGTTCCTTAGTCTCGCTAAAACTAGAGAACAGCTGTATGGATTTATCTTATCTTAGTCTTGAAATGTTCGTGGAGGTTCAGGGAAGGTATAAAAGCTGAAAAAAAATTGTTTCATTACTGGGAAAACCATAAAAACAGCCCTTTTCTATTTCCCATACAAACGTTTTTTTTGACATTAGATTTGACAAGTAACTAATATGTCAATCATTCTGTCGCACTTCAAAACACAAAGATTTATGGCTTACAGGTAAACTCCAAAAATATAAATAAAAAACGTAATAGATATTTCTTGATTATAGGGCGATACGAAGTTCGCCAGGTCTTCTAGTATTTAATATATCTTTTAAACCTCTAACAAATCAATTGTAATTAGAAGTATAAATAATAATTTATATTCGTAAATATATGGTGACAGTTTTATTGTTTCTGTCCCAGTAACATGAGATGGGATGTCAAGCTGTTTTACAAGTAAGATGGACGCTGATTGTGATCTGGCTCTCGTATACTTAAATCATATCGTGCTGGGCGAAACTTTGTACAAACGTTGTGGAACATAATGTTTGTGAACGTCAGATAAAAGCGGCTCATGCTAGGCAGTTGGCGAGATTTACTTGGTTTATATCTTATGAGTCGTAATAAAAATTAATTAAACATATGAATGCAATATTTATAAATATTAGCGAATCTTTAACAATCATTTTATGAAAAATTTATCAATACGGGCATGTTTCGGTTCTGCGACCTCCAGAATATTGTGTTCCAGATTTATCTCTAAAATATTAAACCAATTTATACTAATAAAAAAAAAATTAAAGTGTCTGTTTGTAATTAAAAATGAAGAGCTTTCAGTATAAAAAATATGAAGCTATATTTGAAACCTACATAAAAAATGATTGGCCTATTAGAAATAGAATGAAATCTAATAACTATGATAACGTGTATCTCAAAAAGGGTTAATACGCGAGCAAAGCTGCAGGCGATAGCCAGACAAGTATACATATACATATCAATAGCTTTAAGAATTATTATGCAATATATTTCAATACGTCGTTTAACGACAGTTTCTATTACTATTGCAGATTGAAACATAGACTTTAAATCTGATGTATTAGAGTTGACAGATCACGTTACAGCGGAGTCTGCAATCAGTATCCCCGGATATGTGCTGTCGGTATTGTTTCCGTTGCAATTCATTAGTCCAATACCGGGGAGCATGGATATGTGATGCATTATCATCTATGACACGATGATGATTGCAGGCTCTTACAGTAAAACTTCATAAATACAGTAGACATTATACTTATGCTATGTTGCAAAGATCTATGTTAATTATTTGAATTTTAAAAACACATTTTTTCCTTGCAAGTTGTGTTAGAGTGTATTCTTTTTGCTGAGATCGTTTTTTGCACGTGGCTAGCCGGTGAATGGAGCACGTGGTAGGGGCGCGGTCGCTCGATACAGCGGAGGCTGCGCGCTGAGCAAGACCCAGGAAAGTTCAGTCCACCAGTCATCTTTGACCTCCGCTACCCCTAAAACGATCACTGGTTCTATAAAAATGTGGAGCGATTTAATAACAGACAGGGCTCTTTGTTGTGTGGACACTACATCTCGTTCCAGTTACGCAAGAACTATTTAGCTACTACTGGTAGTATTGGACATGTTTTTCAGTTCTGGCCTCTGTCTGTTTGAATATGAAAATAGATGCAATGAAAGCTGTTATAGTTGGAAATAATCCAATATTGACTTGCATTGAACTTAGATGTGGGTTAACTTATATGGTAGGATTGCGTTTTTATTTTAACTCAATATATTTGTTCAAAATACCCAAATATTAAAACCTGAATTATCTGCAATACTGCCGGCTATCTGTCCCCATTAAGATACATTTCCGTTTCATATTCTTAAATATTTTATCAACTAAGCAAACAGTTTTGTTGAATTAGGACATCGCAAAATTCGAGACTCCATTCCGTATTTACATTTCGACCCCAACTTTGATACTAGAGACGAATTTACCTAAATTTTACAAAAACATGTTGTGTTATGAGACTTGTGAAAATAAGCTTTGCATTTTATCGTCTATTGTCTGCCAAGTCATTTGTTTTGTGATCTTTCTTCCTGACCTGATGAAAAAAATATTTTGATCTTTTAATATTAAAATTATTTTGTAGCATTTATATTTTTATTTAGCCGTAAAGGTTACAAAAAATGTAGTAAAATTAGAGAATTTAATTGCTTCGTGGGAACATTGTTCATTACTGAAAGCCTAAATTACAAAACCATTATCGACATTGCAATCGTACAAAACCCTCGTCACCTATAAACCAGACAAGTACGGCACGTTGCAGAAATAATGTGACTTTTCGAAATGAACTTTAAATGTACGTAATCAAGTTTGATATTGCTACAGCTAGAATGTATTACGCCACCCTGAACTTAGTATCATATTTTTTTGTTATTTCGTCTCAATTGAAAAGAAGCCTTATGTTATGGACAGTAATGTTGTTTTTCGTGGATTTCGTTTTGTAAGTTTCTGCCAGTCGTGCTGCTAACTCACATGTGCCTTTATTTCTCAAGGGTCGTCACCCAACAGACCTCGATCTATCGCCCGTTCGTTTATAATGTTCTTATCATGGTCACCCCTGAATGCTTTCACATTCACCTAACAATAGTTTATGACTTTCCATACTGAATCTTTCCTACAAGGATTTTTTGTATGGCTTTTTTATAATGCCTGGTTCCGCTCGTTTTAATTTTTGTTATTTCAGGACGGATGATATCCTTATGTTTCAAAGTTAACACGATGACGTCACATTCGTATCGTCCCCCATATGTAAACGCTACTTTTACTTACACACACATATATACAGGATGACTGGTGAATTACTATCGATACTTAAGGACGTGATATTTGACGATCATTTATGACAAAATAAAAATTAATATAACATAAATATTAATAAACTTCTAAGTAAAGTTAACCAAAAGTTATGTAATTAATTACGCATCGTGTGAACACCCTACAGATTAGGTATAAGCATGTATAAGCACGCCGCCGCACGCGTCCACACTTCGAACACTTGGAACGTGTCCACACTTTATTTATTTATACGGAAATTTTGTCAAAAATTAAGTACCTTTTTTTTTTACATAATTCGAATGAGAATCATGTACCGAGTATTCTCCTTAAATATTGATAGTAATTCACCAGTCACCCTGTATAATCACACACACAAACATATGCCTTTATGTTAGTATTAAGATAATAAAACTAGGTATACTGTTACTTTAAAGCTATCTTGTTGCTGGACTGTTTGTTATTTTAAATTGGATTTTCTTCCTGCCGAGGCAGTAGCCCACTTACAAAGTACAAGCTAATAAGCTTATTGAATGGGACAAGCTGAACAACGTTAATAGAAAATACACTAGTGTTGTCACTTAACCGTATGACATGATATTTAATGTTTTGTGAAACCTTCTTTCATATGGATAAATTCTTTTATAGCTTTTTTATGCAATATAAAAAATATATATTATATTGCAGATAGACTGAGGTTTGTGAAAGGTACCAAAAAGAGGACTTTTTTTGTATAAAAATAAAATATGTCATCATGGTGAAAAAGCGTAGAAATTAAATTTATTTCGTATTTTATAATTTTTATCTATAACTGTAATCGTAAGAATTAATCTTCAGGCTATAAAAATAAGTTGCTTTTTTATAGCTGTTGTAAATCAATAGTTGGTTTTAAAAATGCTCACACCATTGATGGGATAGAATGTGTACAAAATAAATGGCCATGAGAAAACATTCACAATCGAAGTGTCAATCAGAGATTACGTAACGCAAGCTTTAACACTATCGCTACGTTATCATTGACACAGATAATTGTTTACTGAGGACGCTGACCGCGATGTTGGCTGAGATTCCTGGATCACGGCTCGCGAATATAGTCTTTGCGATAATGCAATATGGATTATAATTGCCTGTGTTATATTCGCTATTTCACATCACTGATAAATCGTGGATGTGAATGTATTTTTTTTGAACATAGTATCGTCCTTCCTCACGAAGAACATCTGTACTATGAGTGATTGTTAGTAACATTATTGCAGTAAATCATTTTGGTAGTTCATTGACTTGTGACCTGAATGTTTGTGGAATTCTGAAGCCGATTTCACGGTCTCTGTCAGATCACTGTCGTGGTAGTGGTGAGGATTGATGAGGTTTTTAGTGTTACTGAAGACAAAACAATGTAACTGTCTTAGAAACCAAAGAATGCTATACTGTCTCTTTTGTATGCTTTTAAACGATAGTTCGTCTTTTATAAAGACATTTTAAAAGCTATAATTGACATATATAACAATAGTAATAGTAAAACCTAACACTCAAATATTAGCTTTAGGTTAACTTTTTAATTTGCATGGCAGCTCTTTTAACATCTGCAAAAATATATATTACACATATATGTATATGTAAAACCAAATTTCCGACCTCCCAACTATGGCTAACAAAAAAAAAATATTTACGTTAAAATGATTAAATATTTCATTTAAAATAATGAGAGAAAAATTTTGAATTTTGCACGACGGCCGGAAAAAGTAGAACAGGAATGGCATAACATCGCAATTTGAATACATTTGCGGATACACAAAATTTTATATATACAAATTTATGTAGCATGCCGTAAGTAGTAATCTATTCTGTGGTTGAGTGACGTAAGCCGTGACGTCATTAAATTGATTGATCTCTCCTCCGTCTGTTACAAAATCCTACTGCATTATTATTAATGACGTCTATAACTCTCAACTTAATATTTAGAGAGGGGTTTTTATAAGTCAGTCTCACGAAGATTAATTTAAATGCTTTATTGATATATCTTTGATTTTATATTAAAATGTATTAATAGTAGTATCGTTACTACGAAAAGCATCGAAAACTAAAAAGACAATTTCATTTATGTCATTCCTGATACTATTTATAAATGTACATATATGCAGTACTAAAACTAAAACTATGACATTTATGTTTGACAAAGCAATTTCCTAGTAAAGTATTTTTTACACTATTTTTTTCAAGTCATCCATACCATCTATATTACTACATAGTATGGCATTGGTAAAACCACAAAGGCTCTGTAATCGATATTGGGACTACACTTATGGTGTCGCTTGCAAAAACTTTATACACTACCTATATTCGAATCGAATATTCATAGAATAAAACTATGTACTTATTTAACTAGCTGTTGTTCGTGGCTTTGCCTTAAATTTACAGATGAAAAAATAATAAGGAATTTAAAAATTAGTCTCGAAAGAAATAAAGTGATAAACATACATACTGTTCATATATTAGGGTATTACATTTAGAAAGAACATTGGATATATATATATTCATAGTGCGTACATTTCCAATATCCAAGTTATGTATCCGTCTGTCCGTGTAAGACCTTTGATCTATGCTGACTATTCCGAACGCTCGACAGCCGTTTGGCATTGGAACTATTGGATCACTGGTTTAGGTTTGTCATTAAATTTGGTATCCTTATTGATTTGTAGATAGTATTGTTCATTGTTCCAGTTTTGGACGTGTAATAACTTACAAACATATGTCATTATAACGTCTAATATATTTAATGTATAGTTGTTGATTGCTACGTAAAACAATTTAATATTATATTCATTTTTAACTAATTCTTGTCCGTGATTTTGTCGTGATTGGTCTTAGAAAAAATGTCGGTGGTGTGTTAAACAGAAGATTTATAACCTACAAGGTCTGTATAACGTGATTTCATGCGAAATACGACTTATGCATTAATCCTGCGCTAACTGCATGGAATTCTAACAAAAAATATTTCTTTTGTCTTATTCTGATGCCTAAGTTAAAACTTAAAACTTAAGAAAGTTTTTAAGTGAAGGAGTATGAAACGTCCAACTACAGAAATATTCTTACAAACTTCCTCATTTATATTATCAATAGGATTTTTTTTGGTATTATTTAAAAACTTTTAAAGGAGATTCTGCTAAAACGTTACAGCTTTTTCATACTAATGTAATTGTTATACTGAATTTGATCCGATTTAGTAGTCCGATAGTTGTTATAAAAAGTGTAATAATTTTTGACTTCATTTATTTCTTATACAGAGATAACACAGCTTGAATCATTATTTAAAAACGTACCTATATAAAATAACTAAGTACTTTGGAGAATGTTCGGTAAACAATTAAGTTTTCTCAATAATTCAAAACAGTGTAACAGGTCAAAGGTGTGACCCCTTTTGAAAATGTTTGAATGTTTGAATATTCACCCCCCTAAATGTTTGAATATTCACTTATATTTCGCACACACATGATACAACTGTGAAGTCTCTTATTAGTTAGTACGGTACGTATTGGTTATATATAAATTCTATTTAATAATAAACATATGTTATAATATTTTATATTATATTTCGTCAAAATATTTTATAATGTGACAGCTATATACTGAGGTCAATGAACTCGTTCTTGGAAAAAACAATCGATTATGTATTCATTTAAGTAAGATTATTGTCTTTGTTATTACTTTAATAATTTTGTCTATCTTAATGTTTTATTTTTAGAAGTATTAGGAGATAGTT